TACCAAACTATGATTAGTATGCAAATAGGAAATGCTAATCTTTGGGAAATGAGCAGATATTAAGGACAAGTCCAGAAATACCATTCGAAAGGAAAAAATTTAGAAAATGGTAAGGCCCAAGAAGAGATATGCATATAAATTGAGCTTCAAAAGGACCCAAAACCCCGAGAGGAAAAGTATCATGTATCATACAATAAAAATCCTAATAGTATCAATAAAAATCCCCGAGAGGAAAAGTAGTCACGTATTATACAATAATTTCTCCGTGACCATCTACGAAAAAGGACAGGTAATTTACCGGATCCTAAACCCTATTGGATCACAATAGCTCCATCTTTATTATAGCCAATATCTCCTCCATACCTTATGATCTTGTCCTTGGAGGCAGCCTCTTTAGCAGAACCCGAAACCCTAAACGCCTTCTTCAATCCATTTATCAACCTCTCGCTGATTTTCTTCGTCGACCTCGGTGTCCCCTTACAAGATGAAGACCAATTGCTAGTCCCTTCACTTCTCTCTGCTGATCCTTTACCAGAAATAATCCGAAAACTAGCGGAAGAAGCAGATGCTTTGTCACCCTTTGTTATCTTATTGCTATTCTCGTTAGTGCCATAATGAAAGCTCGCAGACCTACGTCCGTCCTCTAATAATATACTATTTTCTTGCTTCTCGTGACATTCATCCAACAGTTTCTTCATGCCATTGAGCTCCTCCTCCAAGCTCTGTATCCTCGAGCTCGTAGCCGCCATTGTGGCCCTCAGCTGCGCGGATTGGCGGAGCATTGTGTCGCGTTGGAGGAGAGAGCCTAGAGTAGTGGCCTCGCCGGCCGGCTCTATTAGTTTTTTGTTGTCATGATGGACACGGGGTTGGATTTGGGTATGATCAGCTGCTACTGCTGCTGCGGAGATAATGGTACGGCGAGTGTTGAGCTGCTCAATCAACATGGCTCGGACTATGAACCGTAGGGGCATTATGGGGTTTTGGACTGCATCCAGGAGGACTTGTGGTGAGAGCTTGCTACAGTCAATGGAGCTGCATATTTGAGTTTTCTCGTCCTCTGTAATTTTTCCACTGTATCTCTGTGAAGAAAAGAATCATATAAAATAACTTTTAATTGGTTTCTTTTCATTTTGAATAAATAAAAATATAAAGAATCAAAAAATGAAAAGAAAACAAGAGTACATGTCTAACGAAAAATTGTTCTATAAACAAGAATAAAATACAAAATTTTAATTATATAAAAAAAGAAATTAAATAATAAAACTATTGAGGGGCTCAATTAGCATCAATGAGATTCGAACGAGTGCCATGGATGGAGGGAGAAGAACTCAACCACTGAGGTCAACCCAATTGGCCATATTTTATATATCTAACCAGGCAAAATTATTCAATTTAAAAACAATACAAATTTATAAATAAACTCAATCCTAGACATGTATTTATAAAAAAACCCAAGCACTATTTAAACATAGAAACACACCCAAAATCAACTCCAAAGTCAACTTTTTTGGTGTGTTTATAAATGGGTTTTGAGTGTGTGTAATGATGGGTTTTTGGTGTATTTATATGTTTAAATAGTGCTTGGGTTTTTTTATAATTTCAACCCCCATTTTGGGTGTTTTAGTGAAACTCCCTTTAAACAATTCTGTTAATTATATGTAGGTTTAAATATTTAGATTCAATTTTGACTCGTAGCTCTCAGCAAAAACAAAATGGCATAAATGCGTGGCTAAATTGACACTTGCAAGTTACAAAGAGGACAAAGAAAAACATCAAGAAACATAAAATGATTGATTGCCTTACCACAAGATAAAGATCTACGAGCTTATAAACAACGTCGTGGTTCCCAAAACTGCGCTGAATGGCCTCGGCGACTATTTGAAAATCCTCGGGACGGACCGTTATAACCTCGTTCAACCAATCAGCACCGCCGTCACCGTCATTTGACAGAGCGAACGCCTCAATGCACCCACTCAGCAGAAACGCCGCCGTTTCTGCTTCGGGAAGCAAGGATAGGCACGAACGGAAGACAACCGATGCGTAATCTCTATTAACGGCAACTACTTGACGGAAGTAGCTGTCCGTTAGGTGGAGCAAGTTGTCATCCCCGTCACAGTTACTCTCCGTCATCTCAAGTAATTCCGCGGCTGTCCTTAGAGCCGCGAGGTTTAACAGCGTTATGACGAGGTGGGCTCCGTAACAGAATTCGGCCACGAGAGTGAACGTTTCGGCCGAAATGTTTAGAGGCAGCGCGAAGTCCGATACGAAATCGGTTAGTTGACGTTTTAAATATGTGCTTCTTGATGTCAGGGCATCCTATGAATGAACAGAAAATGAGAAAAGTATTTATGGATGTCATTGATTGGAAAATAAGTAGCATTTTATACGTTTCTGAATTCAAATGGACAAGACATGAAAACCAAATAAAAACATTGATATATTATTATTATTTTAAATTCACTTGTATTATTAAATCGACCTGTTAATTAAACCATTTCAAGTATAATGAATTGAAAGTTCTTAAGAAAATATTTATTTTGAATATATATATAGCATACAGATTCGAGTTCTCTACATTTAGATACTATGCATTTACCCGCATTTCGCAAATGTAGAAACTCGGGATCCTATAGATACAACAACCACATAAAGGTATCAAAACTCCTCTTTTGGTGCTTTGTGCTTCTTCAGGAAGCAGTTTGATTTTTTTATAAAATTTCAACCAGTTTTTGCGAGATTAATATATAAAGCAGCTTCCATATACATGTCTATAAATCACATAAAATCAATGGAGGCTTATCTCTTGCCACTTTACCCCACAATGACTATAGTTTTTGGGTCAAGATTTCGATCCCAACCAATATAACCAAAGTATTTTAACTTTTGCCCTAAAATTTCCCAATTTTAACAAACCAAATAGGCCAAACATCCCAATTTCAGATTCTAATAGTTCAACCTAGCAGGAGGACAATGTACCAAATATCCCACCCAATATAAACATAATTTCATCCTTTTCTCTCAAATGGCTGCCAAATTCTTTTCCTCTTTTACCCATCTCTCAAAATACCAAAACAAAAACAAAAACAAAAACAAAAAACAAAAAAACCCATGTAAAAAAAATTACAAAAGGCACACAAGATCAAAAGAAGAAGTATCAAACTTATAATTGACAAACCTTGTGTAGGTGGAAACATTTTCCCTGAACTCGAATCAATACTTCTGCTTTGTGCCCTGTTGCCCGAGACCTAAGAAACACACAAAACTATATGTATAAAAAAAACTAGATTTTGAAAATATGTAAATAAAGGAAAAGAAGAGAAATGAAATACCATGATTCTACTCTAGAATGCAGAGGAGTGCAAGGAGAAGAGAGGGCTGGGGAGAGAGAAGGAGAGGCGGAGGAGAACTCGTAGTCTTCTTCCTCATAGATGGTCTCAACAACCCCCAAGTTCTTCCAACCCCTCATATTGCCTTTAGCTACTCTTCCTCACTATCTCTCTCTCTCTCTCTCTCTCTCTCCCCTTGAGAAACACATGTTTTGATTTTTGAACCTTTTTTATTGATGCAGGCTTTTGAAATTCAAATGCCTTTAGGGGGGGATGGTTTATTTTTACCCCCTTTTTTTTTTTTTTTTTTTTTTTTTTTTTTTTTTTTTTTTTTTTTTAAGGGTGAAGAATTCCCTGCTGCTTCGTTAGGGTTGAATATTTATGGCGTGCATGTGATCACTCATAAATGCATGCCAAATATTCATTCCTTTTCCTTCAATGCATTTTTTATAAAAATAAATAATAAAATGTTCGGTATGTATGGTTTCAGACCGAAATTCTGTTTTGGTGGGAACGTTTGATTTAAGAAATATCTGATTTGGACACCCTTTTAAATCGCTCTATATCACTTAGGAAATTGTTGAGGGCTTTCCTTCTACAGAAAGACTGGCTTATTGGGGCATGGCATGTGGTGAAAGTTTCAAGTATGTCAGCGAAAAAATTGTGAGGTCTGCCGCTTTGCTTCGTGATCATGAAAACGTATATGGACTTTTGTATTCAAACAAATAATTACACATGTTGATAGTTTTTTTATTGTTTATTAAGTGACTCATTGCATGTGACATATACGGCTATATCAGTTATTTATGCAATCAATCGAAATCGGGGAGATGAATTGGCTTTCACGTCATGTCCACAATGCACGATTTAACTTGGAAAAATATAACAAGTCAATACTATTGAATTCGTTAATTTTATTGGAGTAAATTATGTGGCGGTCACACACAAAAATTATAAGTATAGAAAAATGTAAAAGTGAATACATGCATTCGGTTAATAGTGAAGTTTAAGGTTTAGGTTTTAGGGTTCGAGTTTAGATATTTCAGGTCAAGGAACCAAGGTCTAGCGATCTGTGTATGCTAATGGTGACGTTTTGGCCTTCTAACTTAGTACACAATGTTCATCTTACACACAACATACCATCAACGGAAGCAAAAATATCAATACATAGAATAGAAAGGTTTGAACAATGGAAAATTGGCAAGAAACAGGCAATGGAAATGGACAGTTAAGGCCACTTTTGGAAGGTGAAATTAAACACAACGAATTTTGGTTAAAATGGCGCCACGTCCTATGTTTAGGGAACTTAACAATGATGAGATCGGACTATTCAATTGGATAACTGCTCCACATACGTGTTCGAAACGAGGGCCCAATAATATCTCATACCATGTTCGAAACGAGGCTTAAGTGGTGGGTCTCTATGGGTCCAATAATATCTCGTACCGTGTTCAAAACAAGGCTTAAGTGGGCTTTGTGGTACTATTTAGGCCTCAAACCAGCTTCGTAAATAGAACCCATATCCAAATGCGGGCCTCATGTTCATCCGGCCCAATATCACCAATTGTGACCAACGGACAGACCGAAAACCTACTAGAACGACGTCGTCTGCTCAAATCTTCCCTTTATAAAGACAGCCAGAAAAAACCCTAGCCAAACCCTAGGAGAGCGAAAATGAAGTACAATCCCCGCGTCACCAGCTCTAGGCGGAAGAACCGCAAGGCTCACTTCACCGCGCCGTCGAGCGTGAGGCGGGTGTTGATGAGCGCGCCCCTCTCCTCAGATCTCCGCGCCAAGCACAACGCCCGATCCATGCCGGTGCGCAAGGACGACGAGGTCCAGGTGGTGCGCGGGACCTACAAGGGCCGCGAGGGCAAGGTTGTCCAGGTGTATCGCCGCAAGTGGGTCATCCACATTGAGCGTATCACCCGAGAGAAGGTCAACGGTTCCACGGTCAACGTCGGCATCAACCCATCCAAGGTGGTCATCACCAAGCTCAGGATCGACAAGGACCGCAAGTCTCTGCTCGACCGCAAGGCCAAGGGTCGCGCCGCTGCGGACAAGGACAAGGGCACCAAGTTCACCGCCGAGGATATCATGCAGAACGTTGATTGATTTCATTTTGGTTTGTGTTTTTGTTAGTAAGATTAGCGACAGTCAAATGAGCTTTTATTGTAAGCACTTGAATTTTCATTATGCATTGATGGATTTGGCGTTTAATGATCTCTTTGAGGGTCTTTTGAGGCATGGATCTTGTCCTCTCTTTTTATGCTATGGTATTCGTGGAAATAGTTTTTGGATTTATTTATTTATCTATGCCTATGTTATATGCTTTCATTTTGATTCTGATTTTGATTGATTGCTGGTTTGTGATTTCCCTGCTGATAGTTTTTTATTTGCATCATATATATGTTATTCCAAATGAAGGGTGGTATATTTATTGTGTTCAATACCAGTGTTATATGCTTGGTCTTGCATATGAGAAGAGGGAATGGGTGAATCTACAATCTACAATGTGATATAGGCTTGTTATTGCATATGGACTAGGGTTTTTGCTGCATTGATGATTTTGCCTTCCGATTGAGATTTTGGTTATTCTAGGACTTGATTTGACATTGGTTTAGCTACTCTAGAATACAGATATATATCTTGACTCCGAATTGTGCGTGTGCAGTAAATCACTTCAGTGATGACAGCTTAATATCATACTAAAATGGAAGTAAGGGAATGTCATTACATTATGGGCAGTGAATCCGTGATGTGATGTGTGTGGGTTTACTTGTTCTTATAGATACTGTAGAATAATAATGTGTAAGGTGTTTCAGTTTTAGGAGCCATCAAAGGTTAATTTTTCATGTTCTGTTCTCTGCGTTACAGTTGGTTCTAAGTTTGTCCAGCAAACCCGTCTCTTCCGTCTTAGTAAGAGTATATACATTACTCACTAGAAGTGTTTGATTACTTTCTCGTTTCTTCTATCTTAGTAAAATTATACATGTCTCAATCTATAAGTATTTCTCCTCTCTATCTCTATCTCAATCTCACTCATCGATGAGAATGATAAGAAGTAGTTTCGCCTAGTGGTCGTAGGATTGGAGAATAACACTGATTTATGTGCCATTGATGCATTGTCGTATGCATTGCGCTTGTATCATATAATATTCAGTTCCCTGTTGGATCATTTCCTTGCTGTTGATTGAGATCCTAACTTGGTATGATTTGTTTTCTTTTCATCCCAGCTTTTTGGCATTTTTGTTGCCTTCTCAGACTAAATTCAACTTTTTGTAGGATTATATTGTTCTAGGCAAGTAACAGATCCTACTACTCATTTCTTTCTAGCTCTCTCGTTCAACCCTCTACTTAAATTTGTCTAGTTCACCCATCGCATACTCTGTAGATATGCCCCACTCTGCAAATCCCTTGCTCGCAGTCTGCTAGGCACAACTTACGGCCGACAGCTGATCCGACTGTAGATGGCTCACGGCTGCCAAGGATAAAATAGATATATTATGAAATTTGAACGTGCATCGAGCACGGCAGTTTGCAACTCAACTCTCCCCAGCAATTCTGAACAAATTGATTTGAGTCCACCCAACACTTGAAACGATGACCGCAAAGAGTTTAACTTGTATCAGTATCCTAGTTTTATTTATTTATTCATTATTATTGTTTTTATTTTTTAAGTATCCTAGTTGCTGAGTCTTGCTTCGTAGCGTGGTGGCTGAGTTTGTTTGTTGGTTCTGAATGTTGTTTTATGTCCTAACTTTGTTCCTCTCGTTCGACTTTTGGCATAGTTTCTTGTAGTAGCCTTTTGCCTTGTTTGCTGGGATTTTTTCTCCATGTTCTTGTAGCTCTTTCCTTCTTATTGAAACGAAAATTTCCAAAATAGTTGAGATCGGTAATCTTTTATTTATTTTGCGAAGGGATGGCTGGTGTAAGTTACAACCCGGCGAAGTAAGGACTTAAGGGTGACTCAAACTAGTGAGCCTAACCAAATTTTAGGTCGGGCTTAGGTTTGGTCGAATTTGACCTTGGCCAGCTAATTTTTAAAGGGATAAAAAGGGCAAGAATAAAAGAGTAATTATACTGCATTCCCAAACGTATTTTTATCTGGTATGCATATATTGTTACATCAACTCAAATATGCCTAGCGCCCAAGTTTACTGTCATTGCATGATGAACTTGGACCAAAAGCCGTTTAAAATCGAGCTAAAGATTCAGCGCATGAAATATGCTAATGCCACATATTTGAGATAAAGGCTTTATGAGAAACTAGAAAGAAACTAACCATAACTGGGGCAACGTATAGTTTGTTGACAAGATCAATTTTGCATTTATAAAAACCATTGGAGTAACTTTCGGCAGGTGGATTCATTCAAACAGACAAGTGGCATATCACCTGGCACAACATGTGTAAAAAAATTCTCTATCAATCATAATTCTAAGGTTTCTCCATACAAGGAGACTAGAATGTGCAACGCCTTAGCGACCTACAGTTATAAACCAAAAGAATATAGAGAAAAAGAACAAAAGAAGACCACGGTAGAGACCGAGCATCAAACAATCCATCCACAGTGATCAAGGACTAGGAAACATGTTTCTGTGGAAACTAATTATTAAGTGCTCCTCTCAAGAGCCAGCCAAAAAATTGAACCAGGTATTACGTTCCAGCAAGGCATCATTACCGCCTAAAAATCACGGCTTGAGGGCAATGGCCACTCCAAACCTGGGATTTTTGTCCAGGGCCTTGGTGTCAATCTCCCCAGATATTGTCAGCAACGACTTTGGTATGACCTCATGCTGCAGGAGGGCCCCCAGCTTTCCATGATTGTTGAGCTTAGCTTTCACTACAGTCAGAAGATCAATAGCATATGACCCTCCCACTGTGAAAGTGTTCTCGTTTGTGGAAAACTTTCTAGTGATCTCTCCCACAGTAGCAGTCCTCTTCAACACATCCAGAAAATGCACATAAGATGCTCTTATACTGTCTCCCTTGTCACCCCTGAGAGAGAGACAGAGAGAGAGAGAGAGGATATCAGAATATTAAGACTAGAAAAGTTCCAACCATTCTAAATACTTACAACAAAAGAGAAAGAAACAAAAATTGCTTACGATAACAGAGTTTAAACTATTGTCTTTGATAATGGTTATGGTACAATCACTTACAGAATTATTGAAGCAGACTGGTCTGGTTTGTTCACGCTAATTCCAGCAGTGTACTTAGTAAAGTTTCCAGAAGTAGTGTCATAACCCCCTTCTGCACCAAATGCAATGGTTGGGGTACCAATTGTGGCTGAAAAATCAATGGCTGGCGATTGATTCAAGGCAATGGCTGTAGTGAAGGTTGCATGGTCATGGAAGTACTGAACCTCCAACTACAAAATAAAGGCCAAGTAATTATTATATCATTAAGCACAAGACTTTTTATCACAAATGGTCCTTAACGTTTACAAAATTATCACGAATGGTCTTTGAGGTTTTTTTGTGACATTAATAGTCCTTAACGTTAGGACTTTTTATCACAAATAGTCCCTGCCATTAGAAATTCTGTTAAGTGGAAGATAAGTGGAACCCACATGTCCAATCACATAGTGACATGTGGATGAAATAAATATTTTTTTGATGAAAATCCATTTAGCCTCTCTCTCTTTCTCTTACCCTCTGCCCTCTCTCCTCCCTGTGCTCTCCCTCTCCCTCTGTTTCAATTTGCAGACAGCATTGCGGTCCCATTGAACATGCTATTACAATTCAGGTTGATAAAAACAAATAAACAAATAAAACCCTAAGAAACTTCAGAGTACATGAATAATTTTATCTTGATATAGAAATGATAAGTAGAAAAAATTGAGAGGAAACTGGCTGAAAGGCTCATAGACTCTTTGTATGGAAGGAGGATTATAAATGCCTATTCTATAATCATAAAATCTGTTCCTAGAAAAGGTTATGGTTCTTGAATGCCTAGTTTAGTCATCTCCCATGCCAGAGAAGCTGAAGTGGTATTGAAAGGGTTTCCCTCCTATGATCCTAAGTTCCATATCTAAATGGAAAACTGTGGCTCAAGAACATTGACCATTTCCAGGAACATACTTTTTTTATGAAAATCCATTTAGCCTCTCTCTCTCTCTCTCTCTCTCTCCTCCCTGTGCTCTCCCTCTCCCTCTCCCTCTCCCTCTCCCTCTCCCTCTGTTTTTTTCTTGCCTCTACAACCAGACGAACACAAAGATACAGTTTTATAACTATATATTTTCTCTACCACTCTATATCTTTTTTTTTGCTGGTGGCAATGGGCAAGAAAAATACAGAGGGAGAAGGAGAGGACAGGGAGGAGAGAGGGAGAGCAGAGGGATAGAGAGGGGGCAGAGGAAAAAACAGAGGTAGAAGGAGAGGACAGGGAGAAGAGAGGGAGAGCAGAGGGAGAAAGAGGGGGCAGTTGGTGGAGAGTAAGGGCAAAGGGGAAGAGAGACGAAGTAGAGGAAGGAAGATGAAAAGTTGCAGAAAAAAATGAAGTTAAACAAATTTATTTATTTATTTATTTTCATCCACATGTAACAATGTGATTGGATATGTGGGCTCTACTTATCTTCCATGTCACACTTAACAGAATTTCTAACAGCAGGGACTATTTATGATAAAAAGCCATAACGTTAAGGACTATTAATGTCACAAAAAAAACCTTAAGGACCATTCGTGACAATTTTGTAAACGTCAAGGATCATTTGTGATAAAAAGCCTTAAGCACAATTTCCAATATAGAGATTTATTAGTCTAAAGATCCCAGATTTTATACCTTGCCAGAGTTATAATCAGGTACTTTGAATGAAGCAATAGTCTTTGTTGATGGGACAATCTCATTGATTGTGAAGGTTGTCGAGATCTGCCAAATTGAGAGGGAAAAGTGGACATGATTAAAACAACAAGAATATTGCTTGTAACATATTCAACAAATGATGCAACCCACCTTTGATTCTGTGTCAACTTTGACATCAACCACAGTGTTCTTGTACTTGTATTGTGTCACAATGTCCCCAGTGGAAAGTCCTCCTTTCTTCACCGCTGTTGACGTGAGGGCCTAAACGGGGCAAAAGGAAGAGGTTTGGAACATGAACTTATATTATGGCTCAAATAAAAAGGAATAAACTCACAAGACAACTTCCAGGAAGAGACGCACAAAGAACCAACACTACTATAATCTCAAGGTTTACTTGATCTAAAAGAGTTGTACTTTCCACTATTAATCAACCCAAATACTAAGCAGCCAACAGTTTTATTGCCAAACTAACATTCTAACTCAAGCTTTTGAAGCTTCAAAAGGGTAAACTTGAGAATTTAAATCTGACCAGCATGGATCTTGAAGCATAGTAGGAAATGAAAATTATGAGTTGTAAACATCAATTCAAATAATAACTGTGATACTATTAATAATAACAAACAATGGACACAACTCAACAGAAGAAACAAGATATCCCTTCCAGCTCGCTACACAAGGACTGTAAGGGTTGACACTTCAGGTGTCCACTTTCATGAAGCAAATACCAAAAGTATAGAAGGTACTACGAGCTTAAGTTTTGAAGCGTCAAAACAATATTGCTTAAATATTAATCAGGGTGAATCTTAAAACATAGTTGTGAGATTTAGCTTTTAACATCATTTTAAATAGTAACTGCAATCATATTCCCTGCACACAAGAGTCTAAACCTATAATAGAATGAGAAAAAGAAAATAGCTGCACAGGGAGCGACAACAAAGAGTAACATCTTCCAAAACCAGGCAATCCGCAGTTAACAACACTGCACATCCACACATGAATAGGGGAAAGGTTGAGACATTATATTTTTTTTACAAAAATCCCAAAAGAGAAGAACTTCAAGCACAAAACGCATGAAAACTTGACAACCACTCCCCCAATCCTTGACAAACCCTCCCCCAATCCATCCTCTCCCATTTTTCAGGAAACAAAGATAAGGACATACATAACTGTCCAACAGCAGAAAGGACAAATTGTACACCAAAATTTAGTACTCCAACCTCAAAAGAAATTCTAGATGCAACAACAGTTTAAACATACTTATCAAATGCTTATTAAATGAAAGTTGCAAAGCAAAAAAAAAAAGGTGAAATATAAAACATAACTTATTAAATAAACAATTATAATATAATATAAAAGTACTGAAAAGGCATAACTGAGTTCCTTGGAGCACAGCTATAAATCACAGAATGACTCAATTATCAAATGCTTAAGACTCCATTTCGAACAAGATGATGAAAACAGCATACGATTGCCAATATCATCTAACGAAGGAAATAGAAAGAAAAAAAAACACCGATCCAAACCCTAAAATACGATCCAAAAGTACATTTCTCAATTATTCAATTAGATACACACGTTTTCTGTGCCAGTGACGCTACATACATATCAAATCAGAGCTTAGAGTGCCTACCACACCGGCATCGCTGTAGGTGGAGACGGTGAACTTCTGATCGGAGTTGTAGTCCTTCGTTAGAAGATCTGCAAACAAAGCCAAAACGCAGCGTTTTCAACAGAAAATTACGTAATCGAGTCAGCGCAGAACAGTACAAAGATGAAGAAGAGAAGTGAGTGATCAGTAGAAAAACCGATTCTTTACCTTTGGCCTTTTTGCCGATGTCGGAGAAAAGTCCAGGTCCCTTGCTCATCGTTGCAGAGACGGACAGAGAGAAAGAGAGAGTGTAATTTTGGGAGAGAGAGAGAGAGGTGAGGAAGCGAAAATGAAAATGTAAAGGGCTTGCTTCGCTTATTTTCGTGGTGGCAAGTTTGTGCTCTTATCGACGGTTGTCAATGTCTCCTGGTGCCACGTCTCTTTCCAACCGTTGATTTCAATACCCCAAACCTCAGGTACACCTTTCTGCTTCTTCTCTTCATCTTCTTCTCTTCTTGATTTGTGGAATTAATTAGTTATTAATTTAGGGTTAAGAAATAAGAATCAATGATTTGATGATTAACTTAACAAAAAATTACCAGAAGAATCACTAATAATTTAATTTTTCAAAAAGAAACACACAGACGTTAATTTGAGAAAATTCGAGCATAAATTAAATAGGTTAATTTTATGAAAAATATAAAATAAGGAAATTCATGGTACAATCTTCGTTGGGCTCACAGCCACATGAATGAAAAGCTAATCCAATTGAAAGCACTTTGGGCCTAAAAAGGAATTGAAGTCAACTTTTCATCGGCCTGCTTGTAGAATTATAAAATGATACGATGGCAGAAGTTTTTGAATTAAATGAAGCAAAGCAATGGCTTATCAAGCACGGCCATGTTCAAATTGAATTCGAATCCAAATAGGTCAAAGAGGATGTTTCTAAGGGAAAATAGGGATGTGGTGTTATTAATTATAGTGTTAAATACGAGTGAATGACATGATGAGTAATAAATAGATACACGTGTTATAATATAAGTGAATTGATAACACTTCGTGACGGTGTGACGGTCACATTGAATAGTTTCTCGTTTCAAAATTGTCTATTCAACTAGCATATTTAACTAACTACGAGTTGATATTTTAATTGTAAATTACACAAAGTTTGATGCTAAAGTAAGCATGAATCGTGATTAATAATGTGTTAGGAGGATTATACACATTTGAGAGATACCTCTTTTGTTTGTAGTTAATTGCAAGCTATGGAAGAGAGGGCTATAGGTAGTACAACATTTCAAAGATTTGACTTTGATCAATCTTATGTGCACGCATAACAGGGAGTGGGAGATGCTGAGAAATATCGGACCAAATTGTCTCAACATTTCGCATGACCTTTGGTGCAACTGCAACTTGTGTTTGTGGACTTGAAAGTTGAAACCAAGAAAGATAACGTAGTCCTTGGGAAGGGGTTAGACTCTGGTTTCAAAAATTGCGGGTACTCTTCTTTTGCAAGGAATCAAGATAATAGTTGTTGCATCCTTGAGGATATAAGAAATTAACATGCGAACTCAGGCTTCCTTCCAAGTTCCAACACTAGCTAATAATTTATTTATTATTTATAATTTTTAAACTGACTAAAACTTCTGAGTTATTTTATATGACTAATTTGTAGTCTCCTATCCTATTATAATCTTCATTTATCCCGAGAAGCAAGACATACAGGATTATTATAAATTGTAATCTTGTGTGAAACATAAAAAATCAAAAAACATCTACCATTCAATCAATTATATTACAATTAGAATGACCATGTAGATGTCGCTCGTCACTTACATTATAATTTTAAAAAATGACCATACAATTAATAAACACTTCAATAAAAACACTTTAGAGTGACTAATACTTCGATTCATACTCACTTTGATTTCAAATCAGTAAACATGTCATAAAGTTTGGCATAGTGAAGGGTAATGACACTTCATTACTAAAGTTGGGAGACATAATACGCGCAACAGATAAATATAAAATTAGTGTGAGGCCTGTTGGGACGTGTGCATACTCTCTAAAGTAAAGACTGTTGGAGAAGTTTCCGTCTTTTTTTCATAAAAGTTTCCGTCTTTTTTTCACTTTTATGAAAAAAGGGATTTGGGGACGGCAGATCTCAACTCCCAAGTCTTGGTCATATTTTCTGATATACGCGTAGCCAACGCGTAGTAGCCAGCTTTTTTAAATTTACTTTCAATAATTCTCTTTACATCTTTTATCACATCGCGTTTACTTTTAACAAGAAATGTAACGTGAACTTTATTTTTTTCTTAAATTATTGTGTGGGCTCTGATTTTTATATTTTGGAAGAAATAATTGCTTGAAATCAAACTCTATATAATGACATCCAACACTTGGAAATTTGAGAGTTGAGTATTTGACCCCGGTGATTGTTCCAAAAGACTAGGAAAGAGCAACAATGAACCGCCATTAGCTCCCAAGCCGTGTAATTGTAATTCCCACCAGAATTTCGGATCCTCATTCGTTGTTTTACTGGTCCTTGTTCTTGTTCCTCCACTCAGTCTTTCCTATTTTCTATTACCCAATTGAACACAAAGCTATTCCATTCGTTTTGTCAAGTCCCCAACCCACTATCTTTGATCCTTCTCAGAAATGTCACTGAAACTTCCCTTTCTGAAAAGTGCTCTTTCCTACGCAATTTCCTGCGATGCTCGTCTCTGAACTTTGAAGCTACACTAATAGATACGTAGTGCAACATCTATATATATATATATATATATGTGTGTGTGTATGTTTGATTCTGTAAGGAGATAGTTTAGTAAAAAGGTGAAAGAAAGGTAATGATTTTTTTTTTGGGTCAAGAAAGAACGGGAATGATGGAGAGTTATTTGCAAGAGTTCGGGGAAGTGAAGGCAAAGCATTCGTCTGAAGAAACGTTACAGAAATGGAGGAACCTTTGCAGCGTTGTCAAGAACCCGAAACGAAGGTTTCGCTTCACTGCCAACATTACCAAGCGTAGCGAGGCTGCTGCTATGCGCCGTACCAATCAGGTTTTTGTTTCTTATCTCTGCTGTGCCATTCTTCAGAGGGATGGACCCATGAATTTTCAAATCGGCAAGTACAAACCTATAAAGAAAATTTGGTGGCTTTTGGTGGGTTTTTGTAGATTTTAAGGCTTAGACAATACATCGTGGGAACTAAAAACCAGAAGAAACATTTAGTTCAGCCCAAGCCCACACTTAACCCCTTCACTCATAGCTGAAAACCCCATTTAAGATCCTAAAACGTTATAGCCCAGGTTAGTAAGAAAATTCATGCTGGGCTAAATGTTATTTTAGGCTGAGAAAAAATATAAGCCCCCCGGGCTGTAGCCCAGGTTAGGTTGTACTAAGGTTCGTGCCTTCTTCTTCTCCTTCCGAACCTTTGTCCCTGTATCCGAGGTTATCATGTTCGATTCTCCTTCCTTAATATCGCTTGTATAAATACACAAAAATAAAAATAATATGGTATGCTATTTTTTGAATAAAGAGAACAGAACAGGGCTGTTTGATTAGCTGTAGTACATACTCTGCATTGAAGGAATCGGGTTACTAAACAAATTATGAAACCGGAAGTATCAGTACGATTACATAAGGAATGAGAAATATAGCATGCATGCTCTATATAAAAAGGTCAAACGCGTCTTGGTTGGAGATGCTGTGAACTTGATATTCTTGAAAAATAAAGTCAACCCATTTTTTAATTTGCACCCACCAAAAAAAAAAAAAAAAAAAAAAAAAAAAAGGGTAGTTGACAGAATTGGATTTCTATCATTCAAATCAAATTGGTCAGTTTTCAGGTGGTGCAATTTTTATTATCTTCTTTGGTGGAACTTCTAGATCACGTTCAACCTTATCTGTTATCTTGGAGAAATCTCTCACTGCTTAATGCAGTAATTTGTGATTAGAAATCACTATTGCCATTGGTTATTATGGGTGTCTTGCTGTAGTTCGTAGGGGTGCTATCAGTTCAAAATCATCCTTTTATCTCATCTTTCAATTTCCTTTTGCTCAAATTTTCGACCGGTACTAATGTCGTAGTAGGTGACTGCTACATGGTGTTGTGCTTAGTATATAGACTTGGTGTTGGGAGAATGAGATATAAGTTGCCATGTGGGAACTTAGAATACACTTGGTGATAGGAGAACAGAAATTTGCAATACCGGGGTGTGTTTCGTCCTCACCTCAAGAGATGACGAAGATGCTCAGATTACATTTTTCAACTTCAAATTCTTTACTTATTTATTGATTACTTTGTGGTTTGAATTTTGCAGGAGAAATTGAGGATTGCTGTTTTGGTTTCTAAAGCTGCATTTCAATTTATTCAAGGTCAGTCTCTTCGGCATTAAGTTAAACATTATCATACATAATACAAGGTGGTTCATGCTTATTCTAAATTCCTAATGTCTGCAGGTGTGCAACCAAGTGACTACGTTGTACCTCAGGAAGTTACAGACGCAGGTTTTCAGATTTGTGCTGATGAATTGGGATCCATTGTTGAAGGCCATGATGTAAAGAAGCTGACATTTCATGGTGGGGTAGCTGGTATTGCAGAAAAACTCTCCACGTCAGTAAAAGATGGGCTTAATACCGAATCCGATTTGCAGACTCGCAGACAAGAGATTTATGGAATTAACAAATTTACAGAGAGTGAACAACGGGGCTTTTGGATATTTGTTTGGGAAGCCCTTCAGGATATGACTCTTATGATCCTCGGAGTATGTGCTTTCGTGTCCTTGATAGTTGGGATAGCAACGGAAGGATGGCCTATTGGTGCCCATGATGGCCTTGGAATTGTTGCAAGTATCTTGTTGGTTGTGCTTGTCACAGCAACAAGTGATTATCGCCAATCGTTACAGTTCAAGGACTTGGACAAGGAGAAAAAGAAGATTGTCATCCAAGTTACAAGAAATGGATACAGGCAGAAAATGTCCATTTATGATTTACTACCTGGTGATATTGTGCACCTTTCTATTGGTGACCAAGTGCCTGCAGATGGGCTATTTGTTTCAGGGTTTTCTGTGTTAATTGATGAATCAAGTTTAACTGGTGAGAGTGAGCCTATAATGGTAACTGCTGAAAACCCCTTTCTTCTTTCTGGTACTAAGGTCCAAGATGGATCTGGCAAGATGATGGTTACCACGGTTGGGATGAGAACCCAATGGGGTAAGTTGATGGCAACTCTGAGTGAAGGTGGAGATGATGAAACACCATTGCAGGTGAAGTTGAATGGAGTGGCAACCATTATTGGGAAGATAGGCCTTTTCTTCGCCGTTGTGACTTTTGCAGTAATGATGCAAGGATTGTTTAGTCATAAACTGTCTGAAGGGACACACTGGAGCTGGACTGGAGATGATGCAAGGCAAATGTTGGAATTCTTTGCTGTTGCAGTTACAATTGTTGTTGTTGCTGTCCCAGAAGGGCTGCCACTGGCTGTGACATTGAGCCTTGCCTTTGCCATGAAGAAGATGATGAACGATAAAGCACTTGTTCGTCATCTGGCGGCCTGTGAGACTATGGGATCAGCCACAAATATTTGCAGTGACAAAACTGGGACACTCACAACCAACCGCATGACTGTTGTAAAATCATGCATTTGCATGAATGTCAAGGAGGTGAGCAAACCCAGTGAAGCATCTAGCTTGTTCTCTGATCTGCCAGAGTCTGCTAAGAAACTTTTGTTGCAATCAATATTTAATAACACTGGTGGAGACGTTGTAGTTAACAAAGAGGGAAAACATGAGATATTGGGAACACCTACAGACACTGCTCTATTGGAGTTTGGCTTGTCACTTGGTGGAAATTTCCAAATAGAGAGACAAGCTTCTAAACTTGTTAAAGTTGAGCCATTCAACTCAACAAAGAAACGGATGGGGGTAATCCTGGAGCTTCCTGAGGGAGGTCTGCGAGCACACACCAAAGGTGCCTCAGAAATAGTTTTGGCCAGCTGCGAAAAGGTGATCAATGCAAATGGCGAAATTGTTCCCCTTGATAAAGCATCCATCAACCATCTCGAAGTTACTATTGAGCAATTTGCTTGTGAGGCCCTTCGAACTCTATGTCTTGCCTACGTGGAACTAGAAAATGGGTTCTCTCCTCAGAATCCTATTCCTGTTTCTGGTTATACTTGTATAGGAATTGTGGGAATTAAAGATCCTGTTCGTCCCGGTGTCAAGGAGTCCGTTGCAATTTGCCGTTCAGCTGGTATCACAGTAAGAATGGTTACAGGAGACAATATAAATACTGCAAAGGCTATAGCAAGGGAATGTGGGATTCTCACTGATGATGGCATAGCCATTGAAGGCCCGGAGTTCAGGGAGAAGAACCAGGAAGAACTGCTTTCACTCATTCCTAAAATTCAGGTATTATCTCCATTTCCTTTGGAGTCACACAACCAGTTGGGTTTGCTCCTTACTGAGTAAGGTTTACGAATCTGTGAGACTGAAATTTGAGTTCCTCTGTAGGTGATGGCTCGATCCTCACCTCTGGACAAGCATACACTGGTGAAGCACTTGCGGACCACATTCGATGAAGTCGTTGCTGTGACCGGTGATGGAACAAATGATGCCCCAGCACTTCATGAGGCTGATATTGGACTAGCCATGGGCATTGCTGGAACTGAGGTGAGTATATATAACTTTGCAGTATAATGCTTTGTATTATAGATATCTTCGCTTTTGTTGGTGTTTCTTAATCATGAAGAAAGCGTTACAGAACAGACCTTTAGCTAATCATACTCCCCTTCTTTCAGGTGGCTAAAGAGAGTGCTGATGTTCTAATCCTGGATGATAATTTCTCCACAATTGTGACAGTGGCAAAATGGGGACGTTCAGTTTACATAAACATTCAAAAATTTGTGCAGTTCCAGCTGACAGTTAATATAGTTGCTTTGATTGTTAACTTCTCCTCAGCTTGTTTGACAGGTTAGGCATGCTCACATTTGATTTGTTGCCCACTTCTGTTATCAACTTCGACTTCCCATTCTTCTCATCATTGAAATCATTTCTCACTTCTGCTTGTGCTTTTGCACAAATTATTGTTCTTCAGGTAGTGCTCCCCTCACAGCTGTTCAGCTGTTGTGGGTCAACATGATCATGGACACACTAGGAGCACTGGCACTTGCAACTGAGCCTCCAAATAATGACTTGATGAAGCGTCCGCCGGTTGGAAAGAGACAGAACTTTATCACTAATGTAATGTGGAGGAATATTTTAGGGCAGTCTTTATATCAGTTTACAGTGATATGGCTTCTACAGGCAAAAGGAACAGCAATGTTTGGTCTTGACGGACCAGATGCTCATGTGATCCTCAACACTCTCATTTTCAACACATTCGTCTTTTGTCAGGTAATCTTTTTCTAAAAGGTCTCATACTAATTCATGATAATTCAAAATTTTACCCTCTTGGATGTTTACTGCTACACAAAATATGACCTGGTTCTGGTTTGCAGGTTTTTAACGAGATAAGCTCTCGTGAGATGGAGGAAATAGATGTGTTCAAGGGCATATTGGATAACTACGTCTTCGTCGGAGTCCTCAGCTCTACAGTTCTGTTCCAAATCATAATTGTTGAGTTCCTGGGAAAATTTGCAAGCACTGCACCCCTCACCTTGGCACAATGGTTCATCACTGTATTCGTTGGATTTTTAGGGATGCCAATTGCTGTTGGTCTAAAGAAGATTCCTGTTTGAACTACATAAAAGTAGGGGTTGGATTTTTCTGTTTCTTTGTTAAGGAAAACAAAAAATTTGAGGGAGTTTAGAAGCCTAAATTTGGAAACAGATCTCTTAAATTCTCCATCCTGCAAAGATGCATGAGATGATGAACCATTATTGGTTTGGTTGTTGTCTATAAGCTAATGAATAGAATTAGCTCACAGTAGCTATTCTACCCAAGCCAAAGTCTACTGTTTAACTAAATCCAATTGAATGCAAGTTTTACATGGTGAACACAAGGTTGATCTCCTGTATCTTGGCAAGTCCTGTAATTCCTCAGACTGTATTTTCCTATCTTTATGTAACTAGTTTTCTGCTCTGGCAATGATTTCTTTAATCTTTTTGTGTAATTCTCTTTTCTCTGCACTACCTACTTGTGAATCGTCTCTCAGAGAAAAACTTAGCTGTCCCAGTACCCATTGTTCCTATAGTCATCACGAACCGGCGTATACAAGAGTGGAGAAGATTACAGATTCATCCCTAAAGTGTAGTAATGCCATTTTCCCATGAACAAAGTTCTAATGCTGCTTCTCTAGTCAGTAAAGCAAGATACAGAAATAAACACAAAAGTCTTTCCGCCTAAAGGAATCTCTCAAGATTGCATGGCATTGGTATCATCTTTATCGCCTTCCTCACTGAACATGTAGCGACTCTGATACTCCATCAAGTATTGTGTTGATCTCTTCACATCCAAAAACAGATGGTAAACTAGGGTAAAATCCTCCATCTCCACAATATTTCGCTTCCGCTTTTGACATGCCAACAATGAAGCTGTTATGAGATGGATAGCATACCTCAAGAGTGCATAGACACCAATCTTGGTCAACAAATGCTTTGCCTTTTCAAACATCACAACTTCTTCTTGGCATCGATGTCCAGAATCTTACAAATTTCATCCTCTGTATAAGGCCGGGTGGTAATAATAAGCAGGCAATCAAGGAGATCAATGGGAATCCCATGGGGGGATTTGTAATTTGTGCCTCTGATTGTTGTGATCCCTCTGTTGGTAGCAACAACTAACAACTAATATTGAAGCCATCTCATTCTCCAAAGCACGATTCAAAAATGAAAAGCACTCAATGTCAAGCATGCACACCTCATTGATGAAGAGGATGCCTGGCACAATCTCTGCCTGCCTTCCATTCCTCCCTCCACTCTGCTACTTTTGTGTCAATTTGTTCTTTCACTTCTGAATGGATTTCACCAGTATCACCAGTAACGAGAGCCAGAAATCCCTGTGTCCTGGAAGAGATTGATATAATAATCAGAAAATGAAATATCATATTAATCCACAGCCAATACTGTGTCTAGAAGAGAAGGATTGCAATGGATACATTTTGAGTTTTTCTATTTAAATCCCGCACTTCTCTTTGTTCATCCCATATTTTAAGTTCACCTCAACTTCTAAATTCAAATTTTCACAATTTCTAAGAAAACCCCACTATCTTCCCAGACTAACCCTAAATACACACCCAACAAAAAAAAAATTTAAAAAAAAACTCATCAACCTCACACCCCACATCCCGCTATCAAATAAACCAGCAAGCTCTTTCCAATTTTCAATGCGATCTCGATATGGACTATACCAATCAAATGCTTGGAGGTTGAAATGATTATGTCTAATCAAATATTTACAGATTTGGACCCCTACACGGACCAACATTCATCATTCTTGGCTCACAAAACATGGTAAAGACTTTGAATCTCTACCAACAACATGTTTACTGTAGATTTTCAGATCAATTAGAGGAAACGAACAAGTAATTTTTACATGATCATTCAACTGCTGGTAGGATAGCCAAGCACAGCACAAGCACGAGATGGACTGTGCTCAGAAAGATGAGCCGCGCCTATTATTTTTTTGGGAAATAACAGAGCAATGGGCTCTGTTTTTTGTAACAAAGAGTTGTTGGCTATCCTTATATGGCTTTTTATTTAACCGCAACAAAAATTACTTGCTTAATTTGAAGAACAGTGGTGGGGTGTGTGGGGTTTGTATATAGATGTGTTGAGGTCCAAAAAAATCCACGCTTCGGCCCAAATAAATTCTCGGCCCAATGCGATACCTTACCGAGAAGAAACCCGATTTGGGCACGCAAAAGTTCATGCGCTTGCACACATGCCACGCCAAACAAATAAGCAACACGCCACGCTACAAGCTTAATTGGGCCCAAGTCACGCTAATGCCTGGGGCTTGCTGAGCAGGTTGTGGTATGGATGGTTACGAGTATTCACGAGGTCCATTGATGGTCCAATGAGTGGAAGTTTTGGGCTACTTGGGAGCACCAAAACTCAAGCTCATTCCTTGAGTCCAAATATATGAGCAAGCATGAGAGAACCTTAAGAAAAGGCTCAAACATCTTTAAAAATGTCCAATAGTCATAGCCCATAAAAAATCCCACATCAGCCAAAGCTTCCAGCAATCTGACAAAATCAAAGGTAACTCACAGGCCGCTGGAAAAAAAATACTAATAAACATCAAGCATCTCTGTTAAAACCATATCAAAGCCAAACCAACAAAACCAAGCAAACCTATGTGTTGATCACCTTTTTGACCAAGCACCCTTACCCATTCTTTCCTCTTCAAGCTTTGGTGAGAAAACAAGAAACAAAAGTGGGTGGCTCCTCACCCACATGAAGAAGTCCAGCTGCCTGAGGGCCTTGGAACTCCAAAAAGCTTCATGCCTACATGCTCAGGCTAGAGAAGTTTCACCAAACAAGACTAAATGGAGGAAAGTGAAGAAAATAGGGAGGAAAGCTTGACAAAATTAAGATTCTCAGCGCCTATAAAAGGAGCCAGTTCTTACCCAGCAAAAACAACTCATCTTGGTTGTTGCAAGCCTCCTAGCAACCAGGAGAATTCATCGAAGGCAAGCATCCCCTTTGGCCCCTTCAATTTCATGCTTTGTTCTTCCATCTTCCTCTTTTTTCTCTTTCAAAACCCACATCTAGAGAGAGCAAGCATCATCTCTCATCTCTGGAACCCTTCAATTTCAAGACTTGGTCTTCCATTGCTTCCCATTTTCTCTTCTGTCAAATCGCCCAGAAGCTTGACGAAGCTTTCATCAAGCTGTTGGAAATATGTTAAAGCCACCCATGCTTTCATCTTCTACCTCTCTTTCCACAACACAGATCTATAGAGCAAGATTCATCTCTCAAAGCCTCTGTTCCTCATAGGAAACCCAAGCCTTCTCTCTCTCATGCTAAACTCACGAATACTCAACTCCCATGCCACAAGCTCTCATGCCAAGCCCATGAATTTATCTGTAAACAACTGTTGGTTTCGTTGGTGAAGAAGACCAGGGTGTTTCCTAAGGCTCAGCTTCCCTTTCGAAGCACTCTTGGGGCCTGATCCTTGAACTCAAACTCAAGGGGCAATTTCACACATGTTTCTCTTTTTGGCAGCCCAAGCCCATACGTCAGGCTGCTGGAATAAAAAGACCCCTACAAGATGTACTAGGGTTAAGTATTAAGTTAGATAACATTTTTTGTCTTTTTACACAACATAGATCCAAATTCGTATTGAGGAGTTGGGTTGGGTCTAATCCAAGTCCTTTGACTTTTGTGCCACCTAGAATTATATTACTTTTTAAATATTTTTTTTAATGTAATCTTTTATTATTTTATTTTTAAAATCATTTTTTGTTCCAATGTTGCCCCTTATGACTTGAATCGGGTAATAATCATTTATGTCATATTGCCTATTGCATAGGTATATATGTTTTTCATATTTTTGTCAATGTATAGTAGTATTTTATGTACCTTTTATTTTATAGGTAACATACAATTTTATTTTATCTATTTTTGTATATGACTTATAAATAGTCTTCTAATTTATGTTCCTAACTTATATGTAACATAATTTATCACTGAGTATTTTTCGTTGCGAATAATAACACTATTTACCTGTATGTCAAATACATAATTTAATGTAGGTGATTGTCTGATCGATTGGTATATTATTGATTAAATTGTATTTTATCCATATATTAGGAATATTATCAAAGAAAAAATTCAAAATTTAAATTCTGGAATTCAACTACAAGAAAATGATGCATTAAATTTTTAGATTTTTCAATGTGTTTTTATTATTTACCTAAAAGGGTAAAATCGACACCACAAAAAAAAAATGTCAAAGAACCTACATCTAAAACCAAAAATACGATGACTAAACCCAACAATAGCTAATTATTTCGGACCTAGATCTAAGAAGCACTAAAACTTAAGAGCTTAATGATTTAAGTATTATGATGAACAAAGAAAAGTATAGGATTTAAATAGAGATTTTCTATTTAAACCCCACACTTCTCTTTATTCACCCCAATACTTAAATCATTAAGCTGTAAGTTTTATTATTGTGTGTAAAAAGACAAAAAAGGTCATTCAACTTAATACTTAACCCTAGTACATCTATACACATACCCTATACACCCCACCACTCTTCATATTAAGTTTTAGAAAAATACAAACTCTTCTACATCGTATTGCCAGAGACGTAGAACATTGAAGAACATGTCTCTTTAAAATCTAAGTGGGAGCTAATGGAAGGACTTGTTAATTGTTTGGCTATAATGATCTTATTCTCTTTCCTTTGTTGATTGTTTTTGTTTTTTTTTAAATACCTAATGTTTTGGTAAAGTTGTTCTCTTTCTCTAGAAAATATTAAATTTCGGATTTGGGTTTGTTTGTGTTTTTTTTTCTGCTGGGAACAGTAATATTATTATCACTTCTGGCATTCCAATGTGCATCTAAAATCATAATCTTATTGCTGCAACTTCAATAGTTGGGTAATTTTTCTTGTTTCTTTTCCACTCTGATAAAAGCTTCAATGTATTCTCCATTGATGGACGATCAGATGGCCTACTCGTAGTGCAAAGTGTAGCACCTCAAGTACCAATTTTATCTCCTCTCGCATCGGAACGTTCGTACCAACTTCATTCTCATTGTAAATTTCTCTCATAACAACTTCCCTTGACTTACTATGTATGCTTGCTCCTGAATTCATCAACCTACCATTACTTAAAATTTCCAGCATGATCTCCCCAAAGTTGTATACATTCCTCCTCTAAGGGTAGCTTGTGGGGTTTAAATAAAAAATTTCTTTTCTTTCTTATTTTTTCAGATTGAGGTGTATTGAATGGTAGTTTGGGAAGATAGTGGGGTTTTCTTAGAAATTGTGAAATTTTAAATTAGAAGTTGGGGTGAACTTAGAACATAAGGTGAACTAAGAGAAGTGTGGAGTTTAAATATAAAATCTCTTTAAATAAATAAAAACTCTACATTTTATAAAGAAACCATAAATAAATAAATAATGACTAAAGCAGGCAAAGCCGCAAAGTTATCATTGCTACTAATTCCAAAATTTATAAAAGCTTATAGATTGATAAATATCTCGAAATTCCCTAGAGCATTAAAAATTTTACATGCACGTGTGTGTATGAAAGAAGGCATCTATACTTATCACATCAAAGCTTAACAACCAGAAAAACTAAACGTTCGATACTAGAGAAAAGAGATATAGAGATAGAGACGGAGACGAAGAGAAGAAGAATCATGAGAGAGAGAAGAAAGAGAAAATAATTTTTTTTTTTAAGAGAGAGAGAAAGAGAGAGGGAGAGCGATATTGTCCACAGATAACAATTTTTTATATTACTTTAATGACAGATGGAAGAGTGTTACATGCGTCTAGCAAGTATGGAAATACTTGCTTTTGAGCGATTGTTAATAGCATTCCTCATCCCCGTTATATATTGATTGGAAAGAGGGAAAAAAAAACAGAGACGTATTGGGCTTGGGTTTGCAGCAGGTAATGTCTCACTAACAAGCAAACAAAAACATAGAGGTATCGGCTTAGGTTTGCAGCATTAGTCATATATATATGGGCTTGCGGGCCGGGCCAAGCTTTCATGAGCTCAAATAGGCCGGGCCTATGGTCAGGCTGGACTTTAGACACTTTAGCCCAAGCTCAGCCTACTGAACAACTGGTTGTCCATAGCCCACAACGGGCCAGGCCAAGTTTTTTCTTGATGGACCAAGCCGAATGATGACTCCTAACTTTAACCCAACAACGAGGACATTTAGTAATTATCACCACTTCTAACTCAATTCCATATGATTTAGTAAACAACTTCAATAGGAATCCGGAATCCAACTCTTCTCAATCTATATGGTTTAGAAAACAACTTCAATACGAATTCGAAATCTAATTCTCCTCAATTCAATTCAATTTATCCTAAATCCGATTACGGATTAATAAGCTAACGGGGTCTAGCTCAATGGAAAAGGACCTTGACTTGCATACTAGAGGTCTCAGGTTCGAACCCCCATGACATCTTAGTTGTGTACATGTGTGTGAGAAACCCCCTACTTTGTAGTTTAGACTATCGCTTATACTAATAAAAAATGTGTATGTACATGTCTCATAATGTTATTTGTTCAAATAAATATGGTTCGAAGTGTGCTCAAATTTGAATGGATGATAGAATGACACATCATTTGGTGAAAAAATGTGTTTTTATATATAAAAAAATTCAATATTTGCTTTAAAAAAATTATTACACAAAGGGTCAAAACTGGAATTGAATGTAATCTCCAGTCATATTGTGGAGTTTGAATTTTATTTCATTTCATCAATAAAAATATTTGTACTACAAGAATACTCTAAATGTATATGTACACATCTCATAATGTTATTTGTTAAAATAAATATGGTAGTGAGCTCAAATTTAAATGGATGACAAGGTGGCATCATTTTGGTGAAGAAATGTGGTGCTATATAATTGAATTAGATTTTTTTTTTCTTATGATTTAGACAATTGCTTGTATATAAAGAAGAAAAAAAAATATTTTCACCCAAAAAAAAAAGGAAAAAAAAATTATAGCCGAATTTTATTTCAACCATAATTGCAAATATACAAAAATAAAAGAATTGTATTTCAACCTGTACATGCAATACTAATCCTGTTTGTCACAAATTGGTCATTTCTTGGCTAGTTATTCTTTACATTCAGGCTCATGTTTTCAATCTAGTCTTCCTCCATAGAAACCTTCCCAGTTTCATACATATGATACATCCAAATTGGTTCAAGCAATTCCTTTGCACTTCGCAGATTTTCCCTTCTATCTTCTTGGCTTTCTTCTTCCATTTCTCTCTCTATCTGAGGGTAAAGGTCTTGAAGAGAAGCCAACATCATATCACCCCACTCTTTCTCATCTTGCCTGAATACCTTCAGGCATACAAAGCGTACAAGTCCGGAAACCAACCTGAAATTCTTCTTTTCCAGCCCAACTATGGCGGCAACCAAGAAAACCACTCCAAAAACATCCCGTAAGCTGAGGTTTCCTTTCAACAATATGACAATCATGTCAAGAAGTTTTTTAAAAGCAGGAAACTCCTCTGGTTCAGAATCTCCATCTTCTTCTGGCCTAACTTCACTTATTTCGGAGACCTCAATCTTAGCTAAAATCAAGTGCCATGATGGAAAGTGGAGTCTATTGCGATCAGCTGCAGTTATTTCTATCGCCTCTCCCTTAATCTGTTTCATAATCTGGCCAGATCCTAAGGCCAAAACCAAGTCAGGAAGCCAAGACTTTACTCCTGTCACCATATGCGCAACGTAGTTAGAGCCCAAGTACAATTCAATCGAGATGATTAAGTCAAGCAGATAGTTCGCAAGATCAGAAGCTTCTGTGAGAAATGGTGAAGCTTCTGTAACATCTTTAAGAGCTAGATTAAGTAACTTGGCTGCATAGGTGAAGGAGCTCTTCAGACAGAGAATCATATCCTTCAAATCTTCCTCCTCAAATTGAAACTGCTCCCGAGATTGTCGCTCCAAAGTAGATGTGACGCATTGTATATAACCTGATGTGAACTTTAAGCACCTGCCCTGATTTCGAGGAATAAAACCTATTGTAGCAGCATCAACCACGAACCTTAGGACTGCAGTAAGCATCTTCACCTTGTTTGATAACTTCTTTGGTTCAGTATAGACACATCCTGCATATATTTATGAATAATATTCAATAATAGCACAGGCAGAAGTACATATAATCAGTACCTGTGAGAAGCAATGAAATAAAGTTATTTATGGAGGAACAAGGTGGATA